TGTTGTTAAGTGCTTTCCAGTCAGTTCAAGCTCATAGTGACCCTGTACAGGGTTTCTAAGGTTTGACTGGTGAGTTTGAACCACTGACCTTGCGGTTTAAACTGACCTTGTGGTCCAGCACACCAGGACTCCCCAAATAAGAAATATACCCATGACTTTTAGTATAAGAAGCATTCGTAGCCATAAATCTAGTCCTAATACCATAATCATATCCCATTTTCATCAGATTGTACATATATATATCCATTCCTCAGTTACCAACTTGGTTTAGTTTTAAAGACCAGGCTGTTGTATGAAAATTGGCATTATGTAAAAATAGAGGATGACCAGGTCAGATCACTAATTGGCAGATGGGTGTACATCATTGTATAACTGCCAAATTAGGTTACTCTATAACTGGCAAGTCACTGAGAACTGTGGTCCAGCCAAAGTGAACACACACCCTTAACCATCACAACCAGCATTACTCTTGCCTTGTACTTCATTGTTCATTACTGCCAGGTGTATGTTGTGAATGCACAAAGCAGGGTTTCTACTAGTGATATGAATGGGAACTGTCAGGTGACAAGATGATTAGCATGAAATGGATGCACTTTTGGTAGCGTAGGGGTTAGGAACTGGGCTGCTCTCTTTAAGGCAGCAGTTTGAAACTACCAGCTGTTACGCAAGAGAAAGATGAGACTTTCTGCTCCCTTAAAAATTTACAGCTTTGGAAACCCTGTTCAGGGTCACTATGAGTTGGGACCGACTCCACGGCACATAACCACCACCACTTGTTGTGGTTAAGTGCCGTCGAGTCAGTTCCGACCCATAGCGACCCTGTACAGTGTTTCTAAGGCTGTAAATCTTTATGGGAGCAGAAAGCCTCATCTTTCTCCCGCGGAACAGCTGGTAGTTTCGAACTGATGGCCTTAAGGTCCGCAGCCCGATTCGTAACCACTACGCTACCCACCACCACTAGAGGCACTTTATATGAGTGTAAAGAGAAATTGGATCCGCAGAAAGTTCACGATGGTTGTATCTGGGTACTGGAATTTTAAATGATTTTCTACTTGTTTTTAACTTTCTTCTTACTTGTTTTGGAATGCTTGAGTTTCTTTTTAAACACAGTTACATAAATCATCTTAGTCAGCAAAGAAAAACCCAGCTATTTTAATTTTGTAAAATAAATAAGAAGAATGGTTGCGTCTGCATGTGGGTGATGTAACTGGTAGAGCTACCTGCATCTTTGTGCAGCCCACCATTAATAGGAGCAGGACATTCATGGCTTCAAAATAGGGAGGTAAGTAAGAACATGGCTGGAGGTGAGAAAGATGTACAAGCCAGGAAATATGAGTAACTGAAAAGCTTCCCAACTACATAACCCTCCACCCCACACCACCCACCCCCCTGCCTGTACTTTATTAATATTTGGAAAGAAGGGGCTGGGTAGAGCTTTTCCCTATGTTTTTTTTTCCTACCTCTTATATTTCTACTGTTCTCAGCTTATATTTCTACCTCTTATATTTCTACTGTTCTCAAGCGCTTGAGAAACTATTTAGCACTTAAGTAGTATCTTGTCGCCACCTAGTGGCCTGGTCGTGTCATTTCTTCCTCTATCTGTGTCTGGCTCTTTGTTTGATGTCCCTCCTCTGGTGGCATTGTGCAGCAGGCACTGTGATGCCTCCCGGGGTTCTGTAGGGCAGTGGGAATGCCTCATTAATTTATCCCTTCCTTCCTGTCTCAGTCATACAAAGTGAATCTCTGACTGAATCATGGTCTGGCAGTTGAAGAGCAAAAGGATGCCTTGCTGTCAAAACCAATCTCCTCTTCTCTCCAGCTGCCTGGTCCTTGAAGTCAAACCCAGACTTCTCCAGCAAAAGAATCGCTCTGCTCCCCAGGGCTGCCCTGGGGTTAGGGCTCTTGGCTTGGTGCCCAGGGTAGGCTCCTTGGCATGTAGCTAGGGTTCCAGGGGACAGAACTAGTCTGTCTTCCTCCCCATCTGTCTCCCTCAGAACCTGCACAAACATCACCATCCTTCCACCCAATTCACAGTCTCCACATCCAGTGCATCATCACCAGTCCATCCATTGTGTCTGAGTTGGCATTGACTCATGGTACCCCACGTTTGTCAGAGGATAGCTGTGCTTCATGGGTGTGGCTTTCAGGGGTCAGGCAGTGACCACGCAGGACGTTTTTACAAAGTACCTTAGCATCACGGCAGCCTGACTGGTGCCCATCCTGTGTGCCCCTTTTCCTGTACGTAATATATGGTGTTTGTATAACGTGCAAATGACATAACATCGTATTTCACAGAATGTATCGTGACATCATGTGATGCATACCTGTTAGGTACCAAGCATAAACCTCCACCCTTTTGGTTAGCAGCTGAACTTGTTAGCTTTTGTTGTTTGTCGGTTCTGACTCATAGCAACCCTCATAGTGTTTCCAAGGAGCTGCTGGTGAATTTGAACCATTGACCTTACGATTCAAACGACCTTTCAGTCCAGTACATTATCCTACAATTCACCTAAATATTGACCTCCTAAATATTAGGTCTGGAGTTCTGGTGTGGCGCTGTGCGTTAATGTGCCAGGCTACAAAGCTGTTTGAACTGCAAGGTCGGCAGTTCAAGCTCACCAGCTGTTCTTCAGAAATCCTATACAGGGTCACTATGGGTCAGAACTGACTCGATGGCGCTTCACAACAACAACAACAAATATTATGTCTAGACCCTGCTGAGTCTTATATCCACTGCCCTACCCCCAGCCCCAGTCTCTACAGAAGCCTCCTAACTTCCCTTCTACACTCAGCATCTCAAGGCGTCTCCATAAAGCACCTACTTCCCAGTGCTTGTAGGATAAAACCCAGATTGTAGTTTGGTCCAAGAGACCTGTCACTTGCTCTTTGTGACTTGACCCAGCCTTGATGGCTTTCTCTGGCCCATGGTCCCTTTGCCCACACTTCCTTCTTCCCTGCACTTTCACGTGGTTACTGCCCATTCATCTTCTGTCACTTGCTCAGAGAGTCTTCCTAGTCTCACATAGGCAGGGTTACCTCCACCCATAATGTACTGGGGAATACAGGGCACCTTGCCTCTGCCTCTTCCCTCCCTCCAGCCTGTCCTGCCATGGAATATCGATTCCACATATGTGGTTCTCCATCTCTGATCACCTCCACCCTCCTTTAGACCAGTGGTTCTCAACCAGAGACATTTTTGACCACCAGGGGACATTCAACAATGTCTGGAAACATATTTGGTTGTCACAGCTGGCATCTAGTGAGTACTCCCCAAAGTCAGTATTACTAAGAATAAGAAACTCAAAATTGTCTGGAGGCAGAGACCCAGGGTTATTGGAGGGAGGACATTCCAGAGAGAGACCCCACATGGAGCTCTGAAATGTGCTTGTCGATGGCTGGCTTGATGTTGTTCTCAGCACTTCAGTAGGTAGGCTCAGCATTCGTTAATTTTAGGTGCAAGTTGCAAGGAATCAAAAGATGAATTTGACTGAGTTTTCTTTGTACTCATATTAGGATAATTGCACAGGTACAGCTGGCCTCGAGAAAAACATCCTTTTTTTGTGTATTTTTTTTTAGAAGTATTTAAAATCTCATTTTTAATTCTATTTATCCACACTCTGATCCGTTAACAGTAAGATTTGGCACATTCCACAAGTCAGATGGCCTGGATTCTCCCAGAAATTTCATCTTGTTCTAGATTCCTCTGTTGTTGTTGTTGTTGTTGTTGTTGTTGTTATGTGCCGTGGAGTCTGTTCCAACTCACAGCGACCCTGTACAGGGTTTCCTAGGCTGTAAATCTTTACGGGAACAGAAAGCCTCATCTTTCTCCCGAGGAACAGCTGGTAGTTTCTAATTGATTCCTCTGTTAATACCAGCTAAATGCAATTTGTGATCGCCAAGCAGCCGGGAACAGTGATTGGGACATCTGAGGAAGTTAAGATCAAAATATTAATGTTTTGTTTTCTTGTGTATGACCTAGAGTTAAGGTTATATGGGAGAATAACCTGGTTTCTGCAAGATGCAGGACCTGGGGTGTGGTGTCTTGATGTCAACAACCTGCCTTCAATGACTTAGCATAGACACGTGTGTGTTGTGTGGGAGTGTGTGATGTATACGAGTGTGTTATATGTGAGTGCTGTGTGTGTTGTGTGTTGTGTTTTTTATGTGTTGCATGGGTGCATTGTGAGTGTGATGCATGTGTGTGTCATATGAGTGTGTGGTGCATATGAGTGTTGTATGTGTGTTGTATGTGACTGTGTTGTATGTGTGTGTTGTACGAGTATGTGTTGTATGGGTCTTGTATGAATGTTGTTTGCGAGTGTCGTGTTTGAGTATGTTGTGTGTTGTATGAGTGTTATGTGTGTTGTGTGTTGTATGTGTGTATTATATGTGCGTGTCTTGTATGAGTGTTATCTTGTTTGAGTGTGTTGTATGTGATTATGTTATATGAGTGTTGTGAGCCTTTTTGTATGTTTTATGTATCTTGTGTAAGACTAAGTGTATTGTATGAGTGTGTTGTATGAATATATGCATGTAAGTGTGTTTAGTTCGAGTATGTGTGGGTTGTACTTGAGTGTTGTATGAGTGTGTTGTGTGTTATGTGTTGTGAGTGTGTTGTATAAGTGTGTTATGTGTTGTATAAGTGTGTTCATTGTGAGTCTGTTGTATGTGTATGTGTTGCATGTAAGTGTGTTTATTTCGAGAATGTTATGTGTGTGGTGTGTAAATGTGAGTCTGTGTGTTGTGTGTGAATATGTGAGCCTGTGTGATGTATGTTCTATGTTAGAGTGTGTGTGTGTGGAGAGAGAAAGAGACAGATAGACAGACAGACAAGAGAGATGGCAGGTGTCGGTGGCGTGTGGAACCAGGTCAGGGGCGAGGAGGCCTTCTTCTCTCTGTCACCTTTCTGAGCAGGCTGGCCTTTTTAAGCAGGAAGTCCGAGTCCTGAGTGGTGTGCTGTGGCGGAAGCCCTCTGAGGTCGGCTTTTTGTGTCTCTTCAGTGTGCAGCTCCCCGCCCATCCACATGAAGGTACAGCCCCTGAACCAGACAGCGCTGCAGGTGTCCTGGAGCCAACCGGAGACCATCTACCACCCGCCCATCATGAACTACATGGTCTCCTACAGCTGGACCAAGAACGAGGACGAAAAGGAGAAGACGTTTACCAAGGACAGCGACAAAGACCTGGTAAAACCTTCCTGCCCCCAAGTTAGGAGGTTCTGCCTCAGCTGAACCCCTCAGAGCTGCGGGCAGTGGGTGCTGCCCCCCAGGCTGTGGTACAGTCAGCGCTGGGCTTACACACGTGAACAACAGGTAGACTGCAACTGTGTGTGGCCCCGCCTGGTCCTGCACTTCCCAGCTGTGCAACTTTTGTAGGCTCATTGTTGTCTGCAAAATGGACTGCATGCTTATCCTTTTACTATTAGCAAACAGAATGCCTCCATTAACCCCGTCCATCTGATAGGGTTATCACAAAGACTGAATGAGTTACTCTAACGTACAACAAACAGGTCCTGGCACGTAGTCAGTACTATATAAGTATTAGCTACTGTTATTAGTATTCCTGCTCCCACTCCTGTCACTACCACTGTCCCCACAACTCCCCTTCGTCACACCTGATCTGCCTCACACACTTCTTTTACCCACCAGCCCTTGGGAGCATGTAAAATGTGCTCCCAGACTCTCAGACACTATACCATCTGACCTCACTTTGAGCTATGCTGCCCAAGTCAACTTCTTAAGATTGGCAGGTATGTTTCCTGGCCAGCGCCCAAGGAGACCAAGACTCTTAAAGATCCCTTAGAACAGAGGTTCATAGAAGCTGTCGTCTTAGTCGATAAACCTGGACCCTCCGACAAGCACTTTAAGTCTTTACAGAAAAATTCAAAGTGACACATTTGGGTTTGAAAGCTTTGCATTTACTGTTAATCAAAGGAAGACTTTGGAATAATGAAAACCGTAATTGTATATGGCCATGAAAAATGCAGTTGCACCAAGTGGGATTGTTAATGATGAGTACATCCCCCTCCTCCTAATACGGAGCCTCAGGGCCTATTCAATCCGTTACAGAATAATACTTGCCCTATTCTTTTAGATGAAGATTCTTTTACTTCATTTCCATTTATATTTTCAATTTCCCCACTAGACATTTTTATCTGGGTCACATTAGGGAACGATGAGCTTCGTGAAATCAGAGCGATATGTACTGAAAAGGCACCCAAGGTTATGATGTATTTTAACCTATTCTCTTGTCACAACTGGGAGTCCATGAGGGATTTTCTCTTTCTGAAGTCGAGATGGCTTGCATTAATCAGCAGGAACTATCTGGGCGCTTACGTGGTCTCTTGTTCTAAGTGGAAAATAATTAAACATGTGAAGATGAATAGATAGGGGCTGGAAGTGAATTCTAATAAATCCTTGCATAGATGAAGCAAAGATTTTGCTCCTCGCAGAAGGATGGGGTCAGAGGTTTCGAGAATGAGGCATGAATTCACTTTGGAGAACGCACGAGATGTAAAGGGAAAACATGCTTTGACAGCAAGTTCCTTTTTATAAGAATTTCTAGTGGTGGTTATTTTCTTTGGGGACATACAAAATTAATTCTCTTCATTCCTAAAGGAGTCAAGAGCGCTGACTTAGTGGCAACAGAGCTCTTCTCTAACTTACGTGTATTGTGGCCCAGAAACTGAAACGTAATCCTTTCTGTTGGTGCTGCGTCTTACAGGATGCGCCTCTCGGCCACATCCCTCTGACCCTGTGGGGTAGGTATCATCACCTCTCTTTTCCAAAGCAGTGAGGCTTCAAGTTGAATCAGGTGACCCTGCGCTGTGGCCTCACCAGGAGGCCAGGTTCTAGGCAGCAGGAGCAGATGTGGCCACAGAAACTTCTTAATACCAATTCACAGGTTTGCTATCTTTCTGTCTTCTTTGTTTTTTTTTTAACTTTCTCTTGTGAATTGGGTGAACGTTTACAGTTTTCCACTTAACACTTCATACACATTTTGCTTCATGTCATTGATTGCAGTCCCCACAAGGTGACATCATTTACCTGACCTACTTCCTCCATAGTTCAAGAGGTCTCAGGAGCTCCATCGGTAAACCCACTCAGAGGTTAAGCTCACAGCGTTGTTTTTTCGAACGTTGTCCAGAACACACGTTTCCCTGATGAGACATTTAATCAATTAGGAAGAGACTGAAAATCAGCTGCCTTTTGTTATTAGTGTCTTCAGAAAGCAAGTGCTGACTATTGTTAGGGATTTTCCATTTTTTTTATTTTAAAAAGCCTTCTGGAATACAGCTTTGGAGAGGGGGGAACTGGGCTAGGTTGATGACATGTGACCAGTCATTGGCAGACTTTTCCTAGTAAGGACAAGGGAGGAAATATTTTCAAGTTTACCAGCCTGATTCTTCTCTGCCATAGTGACTTAACTCAGCCTTTGTAAGCAGCCATGAACAATGTATAATTGAATGTGTGGCTGTTTTCCAATAAGATTATTAATAAAAGCAGGAGGATCTTCAAAAAGTTTATGGGAAAATAATAATTCAAAGGAAATGTCTTGTTTTCACAAACTTGTTGAAGTTTCTTGACGGATGAGGTTGACCCTGAGGCACACTCTATGTGTTGCTTGGTCTATGTCTGAACAAGCTCTAATGGTATGTATCCAATGCTAGATAGTTCTCACAAAGACACTGTGAGGGAGCTATCTGCCCCCCACTTTACAGTTGAAGGTAGCAGAGGTAGAAATACAGAGAGCAACTGGTTCAGGAACACACAGCATGTACGTGGCATGGGAAGGTTGCAACTTGGGTCACCTGACCTCTAGCCTGGCGCTCTCTCTAATATCATGCCCCTATTGCCCATGGTCTAATGCAGCAAGGTGAGACCCCAAGTGGCACAAAGATTAAATGCTTGACTACTTAACCTAGAGGGTGGCAATTTAAACCCACCCAGGTGGACCTTGGTGTAGACAGTCCTGGTGCTCTGCTTCTGAACGGTCACAAACAGGATTACCCCAGTTCTGCTCTGACCCACATGGGGTCACCATGAGTCAGGGTCAACCTGAGGGAAACCGAATTATTTGGAAAAAAAAGTGATAGTTTCAAGATACTACAGGGCCTTTCGACAGCAAAGAAGCAGACACATGAGGTGCTGTTGTTGAGATGTGAAATGCTGCACAGCTCTAGAAATTCAATACACTTCATAATCCCAGAGTCCATCTGGGATCAATAATTACAATTTATAAGGTCTAGTAGTCATGGCAGAAGTCCCGAGTATAAAGAGGACTGAAGACACATTCATTCACCACGTGTTCAAGCATGTGTTTGTTGTGTTTCTTTTCCGGCACCTCTCCATATGGAAGACAGGTGACCAGGTCAGATTAGTCCTAAACCCGCGTTCATTTGAGAGTAAGGTTTGCTCCATGGGGAAGCACTGTGTGGCCCCCAGTTTGGCTTTAGGATGTCTTCAGAACCGTCTTGGTCTTTTAACACTGCTGTACAAATATGACCAGAAGTGTAGGGCTTTAAAGCACAATGCAGGCTGCTGGCTGTAGGGGAGGCTCTCTCTCTCTCTGTTGGTTCCTGGGGAGAAATTCTTGTCTCAGCTTCTCTAGCACCATCAGTATTCCTGGGTTTCCTGTTGATCTCTAGGTAGTATTTAAACACTCGTTTGTGGAGTCTAGTGTCTGTGTCCTAGGAGAAAGATGGGGCATTGTGTCTCTGTAAAGGTCACAGCCATGGAAACTGTGTGGTGCAGTGACTTTTAGGGTCGCCATGTGATGGAATCGACTTGACAGCAAGTGGGTTTTGGTTGGTCTCTGCTTCTGTGTCACTCCAGAGTGATAAAGTTTAGGACACACCTTCACTGATAGAGCTTCATTAGCATAAAGAAAATGCTTTTCCCAAACCGGGATTACATCCACAGTGTATAGTTTAGGATACCAGCCCATCTGTTGGAGGGAACACACTTCAATCCATAACACTGCCTTTGCTTTCTTCACCTGCAGAAAGCCACCATTAGCCATGTCTCACCTGATAGCCTTTACCTGTTCCGCGTCCAAGCAGTGTGCCGAAACGACATGCGCAGTGACTTCAGCCAGACGATGCTCTTTCAAGGTAAGGCTGATTCTCCTCCCTTCCAGCAGGGGGCAGCCCTAAACCGCTCCCCCTTGGTGCGTGTCTTTTGTTGTTATTAAGGTGCTGTGCAAAAGAAAAGAAACCAAAAATTAGCATAGCATTCTCAGCTACCTCCGCAAAGTATCAGTCATTTAGTCTTGTCTTTGAGGTTGAAGGTTTCATACAGTGAAGTGTTGTAATTTTTTTTTTCCAGTTGTGCAAAACCAAGTATTTATACCTATCACTATCCATTATCTAACACTGAGTCAGATTATAAAATCCCCTACCAGTTGTGTTGAATAACTTCCCTGGATTAACAATAATACTCAGCTCTTCTTCCCAGGACAGGCGCCCCAAACAAATAAAGCTTACCCTTCTAGCTTTCAAAACACACAAACAGACACTGCTCACAGATTCCTTGAGCCTCCTGAAATATAGAGATATCTTCCTGCTGATTGGTGGACTGGTCAAAAGTTGTAATAGGCTTTTGCCCTGGGTTCAAAATGTAAGGAATGCCATGAAACTCAGTGATCAAGGTGTAACTTATAATTAAAAAATTTGAAGTAAAATCGATGCCACACCCAACAAAAATCATGGTGATTAAAATATCTGAATTTTAAATAAAGACAGAATCCATCCTGTCTTTATTTAAATTTTACTCATCCCACCTTAATCCTGGTAGGATAGAGGTTACGAATCGAGCTGCAAACCACAAGGTCAGCAGTTGGAAACTACAGTTGTTCCGCAGGAGAAAGATGAGGCTTTCTGCTCCCGTAAAGATTCACAGCCTTGGAAACCCTGTACAGGGTCGCTATGGGTTGGAACTGACTCCACGGCACACAACAGCATCAGCATCTTAACCCTGGCTGATTCCAATAAAACCTTATTTACAAAAACAGGCGGACATGCTATGGGTCTCAAAACTTGCAAGCAGTAATCCAAGGCATAACAAAATGTCACCTCAAACGACAGGGAAGATAGAGAGTAGAGGAATGAGAAAGTGTGATGGTGGTCAATTGTCTCCAAGAACATCTGCCTTCTTTGCCGTGCAGCTAGAAGTTGTGTGCTCTCTGACAATCTTTACTGAATGTTTTCATCAAAGATTCTATAGCATTCTCACCAAAAGAGGGGGAAATGTAGAACAGAATTTAATTTTCATGGACTCTAGAGTTTCAGGAACCTTGGAGACTGGATGAACCTCTGGAACTACTGCCCTGGAGATAATCTTTAAACTTTTAATCAAACACATCTCCTGAAGTCTTCTTACAATCAAACAATAGTTTATAGCTTAACTAGTAAGGAATGTCGTCAGCCTTGAGCATTGTGCTTTTGTAAGGTTTATCCTTACTGGATCAGATTGATAACAGCAGATTAGCTAAGAACCTTAGAGGGCTAGCAGCTTCAGCATCACAGGGTAACAGGAGAGAAAAGCACATTCCTGGGCCCCTCCCAGACCAACTGAATCAGAGTCTCTACTGGTGCAGCCTAGGAATGTGCATTTTAACAAGCTGGCCATATTAAAGGTTACAAGTTAAAACCTGGGCTCTGATTTTTCTCATTTTAACTTGGGTCAAGAGGAAAATTAAAAGAGAGAGAAAGAAAAGAAAGGAGGTGGCGAGAGCTTGGAATTTGGGAATTTCTAAGAAAGGGAGCTCTGGTAGCTTAGTGGTTACGAGTTGGGCTGCGAACCTCAAGGTCAGCAGTTTGAAACTACCAGCTGTTCCGCGGAAGAAAGATGAGGCGTTCTGCTCCCACAAGGATTTACAGCCTCGGAAACCCTGTACAGGGTCCCTATGAGTCGGTGCCGACTCCACGGCACATAACAACAACAAGAAAAGGAGACGCCCTATACCCTGACCTTCCTGGCATGGTAGAAGGACAGGACAGATCCCTTCCTGGTAAGTTTGTGGGATCCAAGGTTGTTAAATGTTCTAACGCCTTGCTTTCCAAATAGAGCTCCAGGTCGGCAGCTAGAAAAGAAACAATTAAAACCTAAACTCTGAATGCATTTGAGTCCTGGCTGCATTTTAGTAGAAAGCTGAGAACATTCCTTAATTTATCTAAGCTACAGTTTTCTAAGCCGAAAAGAAACAGTAACCATCTGAAAAATGGTGGCATTCATGATCGAACTCTTACAGTCCTTGTAGGTTTGCATGGGATGCTGCCTGGCCCTGAGTATAAACATCTCCTCAGTGTTAGGATTAATAGAACCATCAATGTGTGATGAACCAAGAGTAAGAAACTGTGCAGCCTAGATCCCCCCACCTCCCTACGGAGCCCTTGTAACTTTCCAATTCTGCATTGAGTATATAAATATTCTTTGCTAATGTTCATCTCATCCTTCCATTTAAACTAGTTGAAATTAGCATAGCTGCATTTTTTCATACATAAATCACATTCACTGTGACTAGCTACCCTGAACATATATATATATACCTCTCGCCCGCACTGAGGAGGGGCAACAGGTCTAGGCTGGGTCTCTGCACCATAGCCGGAGAGAGACAAGGACCCAAGTTGGTACCTGCTGGGATTTGGGGCCCTGGAACTTTGCAAACATAAGCCATGATTAGGTCTCCCATATGTTCTGACCAGGAGCTGCAATCTGCAGAACTGCCTTTCCAGATTAATAGGCCCCCGAGCTCCCTGGCATGTGCATGGGCTTTGGAAAATTAAATGTTTGTAATATAAAGTAATTCAAAAAGGTTTTGTCAGCTGTAAATTCAAACAATGAAAAATGTTAACTGTCTGATCCCAGTGACTTGTTGAGAATGGGTATGTCTCCTTTGTTTAAGACTGTCTCTGTTCCGAGATGGGTTTCCATGTTTAAGTGATTTGTATCATCTCTGGGTGTTGAAAAAAGGGGAAGTGGAACCTTCACCCATTGCCAGAATGGCTCCAGTGTCTTCCTTTCAGCTTTCAGCAGGTAGCACCCAAACTAACTCTAATCCAGGTGGGCTAGCTGAACTTCTCGTGAACTGTGCAGACACTTATGAACAGTTAGAGGCCAACTTCCAAAATGGATCAACTGTTAAGACAAGTTTAAAGCAAAACAAAAACCAACTCTCCCAAAAACTTAGAGAATTTCATGGAAACTTGTTCAGGATCATTTGGTTTCTCCGTGATAAAATTTCCATCTTGTTTGGGATCATGAAGAAATGACAGAAAATATATAAATATGCATATTGCATTTGGGAGTGCTGGGAGAAAGATGAGGCTTTCTGCTCCCATAAAGATTTACAATCTCGGAAACCCTGTACAGGGTCGCTATGAGTCAGAACCGACTCCATTGCACGGCACATAACAACAACAACAACAACAGTGGCACTGTAGTGTGAGCTGAAGAAATAGGCCTCATCCCATCAACCCCAGTACCAGAGACCTCCTCAGGACATATGTGTCCTACTAATTGTATCAAATTCCGTATTACCACAAGGTTGGCAGTTCAAACTCACCATCTGCTCCCCAGGAGAAAGATGAGGCTCACTGCACCCGCAAAGATTTGCAGCCTCGAAAACCCTATACAACAACAGCAATATTATATACAAGATAATGTGACCGATACTGTAGTGTTATATTGTTGTTAAGTGCTATCAAGTCTGTTCCAACTCATAGCGACCCCTGTATACGGTTTCCGAGGAGTGGCTGGTGAGTTTGAACCACCAACCCTACAGTTCAAATTAAACTTGCTGGACTGCAAGCACATGAACCCGCAGTGCCAAACCAGGACTCCTATAATGTTACAGCTCTGCATAAAATACAACAATAAATATTGTTTACCTTATTATGGCAAGTATCACAAAACCAATATGACAATAACAAACACTGTTTGTAGGATGACTGACTCACAGTTATAGAGGTTTTTCATACAAAGTTTTTCTCTGAACCTCACCTTACAGGAGCTTGTCTTACAGGTATCATTTGACATACGGGGAAATGAAGTTCAGAGAGGTTCCTTGCCAGTGATCCATTACACGAGTACTAAGGAGCTCTGGTAGCGTAGTGGTTACGAATCGGGCTGCGAACCTTAAGGTCAGCGGTTCGAAACTACCAGCCGCTCTGCGGGAGAAAGATGAGGCGTTCTGCTCCCGTAAAGATTTACAGCCTCGGAAACCCTGTACCCGGTACAGGGTCGCTATGGGTCGGAACCGACTCCACGGCACTTAACAACAACAAACAGAGTCCAGTATTCTGATTTGAAAGCCCAAAGAGCAAATAATACCCACATACCCAAGTCTTTAACCAAAGGGTAAAAAAAAATAGCATATTCAGTGCAGTTCTCAACAGTCATAGAAAATGAGGATTTCTGAGCTTTTCAGTTGTGCCACAGACCTATTTGGCAGATGCAGAAGCCAGTACGTGTTTTTTTCTGTTGTGAGAAAATTGAATGGTTTAAAACTTTTTGTGACCCATGGGATATGCAGTGCCTACCTACAGTTTTCCAAGAAGTCCTGTAGTGCAGCAGTTAAGTGCTCGACTGCCAACTAAAAGGTTAACTGTTCAAATCCACCAGTGGCTCCAAGGGAGGAAAAGTTGGTGGTCGGCTTCCATAAAGATTGTTGTCAGGTGCCATCGAGTCGGAACCGACTCATAGCGACCCCATGCACAGCAGAACAAAACAATGTCCGATCCGTTAAGATTACAACCTTAGAAATCCAGTAGCCGCAGCTCTTTGTTCTAGAATGTCAATGTCAGAATCAACTCCATGGGTTCATTGGGAAACTCTTGTCCCACTATTGGTGTGTGCTGCCACTTGGTAGAGAGCTATGTAACAGTATGAATCTGAAAAAAAGGAGTCTCATCTCTGCAACCCCAGCACCAAAGACCCTTCAGTAGATATGTGTCCCACTGAGGCAGACGGTTCAAACTCACCAGGGTCACTATGAGTCAGAAATGACTCAACATCACTTAACAACAACAATTATATCAAAATCCTTATTGCCTAAAAAAAAAAGAAAATGCTTTTCATTTCATTCAAAATAGCTATCATTACAGAAAACACAGGATTTCAACAGGAAACAAAGGAATTCCATTTTGCAATGGTTAAATAAGTCGTGTACATAGGAAAGGAAACCAATTATATTGTTTTCCAGTACAGCTGTCAATATATATATATATATTTTTTTTTAATTTTTATGTTTCTATATATGCACATTCGTATTTATGTATCAAATGGCAGCGCACTGTAGGATAAGCACTGGGTTGCTAACCACAGGTCAGCCTTTCAAACCCACCAGCCTCTCCTCAGAAACCATACACAAGGTCGCTATGAGTAGGAACTGACTCCAAGGCACTTAACAACATGAAATGACAAGTGGTGGGCTTGTCAACACAGTTACAAGGTATTCTGAGAGAGCTACAACTAGAGACCTTCTAAAAATAAGAGAGGGTCTCAGAAAGTTCGTGGGGAAATTCCATTGTCTGTTCATTTAATTACATTTACCCACGAACTTTTAGAAGCCCCCTGATACCTATGAGTTCAGTCTGTGAAAAGTGTTGCCTCCGTTCACGATGGAGCAGGAAGCACACAGATGGCATGTCCCCACCCCTGAGGGGCTAGGTCCCCAGTGTACACGCACACTCCCAATTGGAAAGGCTCCAGGCAAGCCGCCTACTAACCACGGCTGTAACTGACCCAGGTAGAGGTTGCCCAAGATTAATTAATGAAACGCAGGCCCGCTGATGGAGAGGCGGTTTAGATTGTTGGCCTGAATTACAGCCCTTTTTAAAAGGCCGATAAAGCCGGTCTCCAGGGAGCTTTTTTCCTCTTGTAACAGGGAGGAGTTGTGCACACCTGTCTGAGACAGTGAAGTATCGATCCCTAGTAACTCAGTTCTCGTGGAAGGCTATATTTAGTCCCGCGAGAGAGCTGTCTGATCCTACTCCCTTATTTAACCTAGAATCTAAATGGTTGTATAGACTTCTAGATGTGTCTATTCCCCACATTGTTTTCGCCCAGGTTCGCTTTTCAATTATGCAAATTCACAGCCCCTAGAGGCCAGGCAGAAAATAGATTCAAGAGAGCGAAGCTCTGTGAGAGTGTGAGAAGGTGTTCTGCCTGAAGGGGGCGGCAGACACTGGGCCCCAAACCCGGTATGGCCCTGCGGAAAGGAGACCCCAGTATTGGCAGATACTGTGATTTTTCCAGATAAACAGAAAATGTAGGTTTTTAGATGAAAGCTGCTGTTTCCAATGTTGGTGGTGAGTTCCATTTAACAAAGAAAATAATTATGTCTGTTGCCTTTTCTGGCTTAGGTAAAAACCATAGTTAGTACAAGTGGTACTTGTTTTGGTAATTAGCATGTTTTGCTAAATTTTCACTGCTGTGAAAAACCCAGAAAGCAGGTTTTTAGTTTATATTGCACTGTTCTCTGAGATAGCCAGTTTGGTATGTTTTGTTTTCAATTACTAGTTTACAATGTCATTTCTTTGTTTCTCAGCTAATACCACTCGAATATTCCAAGGGACCAGAATTGTTAAAACAGGAGTGGTAAGTAGAAATTTGTAATTGCTTCATCACGGCTAATTGTTAATTTGCATGCTTTTGAGATTGTCGCCACAAGGTGGCAGTATGATGCTGTCAAACTGCTCAATGAGAAGCGGTTAAAAACAGACTCTAATACTGTATTCACTAATTCATAAAAGCAAGCTGGAGAACAACAGAGATTCCCAGGTTTTCAATTATTATCAGTAGAATCATTTGTTGCAGGAGGTCAAAGGGATTAATCTGTTCTGTAACCCTCAGTTCATATATGCTCAAATGAGAGGTTGTCACTTAACCAAAGTTATGTGGATTGGCAAATCTCTGGAGACTGAATTAATATCCAAGTCTCCTGGTTCCTAGTATAGTTGATCACCATAATCACAGTAGTGGTAGTAACAGCAATAGTCTAGATTTGCAGAGTACTTTCTGGACTTTAGGCATGGATTATTTTATTTATTCTTTTCAGCAGTTCACAGGGTCGCTGTTACTGTTAACCCCTTTTTACAGTTGAGGGCACTGAGGCTCAGTGAGTGAAAATAATGTGCCCAGTCTCACCCATATAGTAAGCAAGGGGTTATCAAATCAAGCCCAGAACATCTCACTTCTCGGAATCTGAATGCTTCAGATGTGACATTTGATTGACATGTGGCATTTTGCTGGCATTTAATGCAAACCAACTTGAAAAGCCGTATTTGTTAACGTCATCTTTACACCAAAAAGTTCTCAAAGTAACTCAAGATTATAAAATTATGAGACTTAAGTTGTTTGCATTATTGTTTTGAATTGTATGTATGATGGGATAACCTCTAGGATTCTATACAATAGCTTATAAGAAGTAAAATTAAGCAAATGACTCAGAGAAATACTCCTTGTTTCCCTAAAATGCCATATGTGAATAAAACCCCACAACTGAGCCGGAGTTTAGTGTGGTGGAAGGAGTGTCGCTGTGGGCAGCCTACACCTTTGTACCGTCACTGACAAAATGGCAGTTATGGTCATTCTTGCCTGCAGGCCAGTGTGGAATGTCCCAGAACACAGTGAGACCAGTGAGAGTCAGGACCTTTGTAAGTTGGAGATGTGTCAGAGAAGGGAAACTCACATATTTTCCACTAAATGGAGCAGTAGAAAGCTGCTAAGACTACCCCTCATCAAAGTCATAACTAGCATATCAAACTTGCAAGACCGGAACAGTTCCACTGAGTTGCAACTCTCACAGGTTTCACTATAGTTGGCACTGTTAAGTGGTGGTGCTTTTGTGATTGTTGCAATGGTCATCATACACACGGACATAGATTTTGCCGTAGATGAACCCAGAGACTTGAAAGCTAGAGCTCATGTCCAGTGTGGAGACACAGGACTGGACATGCAGTGCCCAATGCTGGAGGTCAAGAGTGGGGCTCCTCTCACTGAGCTCGTCACTCCTCTCTGCCCATCTCTTTCCAAACTTTAAGATAGCAGAGTTGGACTGGATTCTCCCAGGCCCTTCCCAGACCTAGGCTGTGTATTCTCTACAGGTGCCCAGTGATTTACGTTAACTGGGAACTCCTGCCTAACTTTTCAATAGCGCTCCAAGAGGTGATGGTCATCCAGTGTTGCCAATTTACTAGTTCTGTGTTCTTTGTCTGTAAGCTGTTTACTTGCTTTTCTTTTGCTACTTCACCTCATCCTGAGCATTGTCAGTGAAAAGTTGATTTTAATAGGCTAGTTCACATTTTTCATGTTTTGAAAGAAATTGTAAAACCTGGTCATCCCTGGACCCTGCATGTACTCTTCCATACCATCTTTGGAAAACCCCCAATGATGGATGAATGAAGCCATTAGAGAGGGTGGTAACCGGGCCCTCGTTTCCAATCCTAATTACTGACACCTCTCTGCTTTGTTTTCCTTTCTGCCTTCCCTCAACCTTCCCGGGGAACCCTCTCAAGCCCACAGCTTCTCCTGCTTCATCTGCTGACATGGCCCCCATCAGTTCGGGGTCCTCCACCTGGACATCCTCCGGCATCCCCTTCTCCTTTGTTTCCATGGCAACTGGGATGGGTCCTTCTTCCAGCGGCAGCCAGGCAACAGTGGCCTCGGTGGTCACCAGCACGCTCCTCGCCGGCCTGGGCTTCAGCGGCGGGGGTATCCCTTCCTTCCCCAGCACAGTGTGGCCCACGCGCCTCCCGACGGCCGCCTCGGCCAACAAACAGGCCGTGCGGCCCGTTCTCGCTACAACAGAGGCCTTGGCATCCCCAGGGCCAGATGGAGACTCGGCACCAACCAAGGACAGTGAGGGCACCGAAGAAGGAGAGAAGGATGAGAAAAGTGAGAGCGAGGATGGAGAACGAGAACACGAGGAGGAGGGGGAGAAGGACTCAGAGAAGAAGGAGAAGAATGGGGTGACGCGCGCCGCTGCTGCTGAGGAGCAAAACGGGACGGAGCCCACCCCCATGCCCTCCTCCCCCAACAGAACTGCAGAGGATGGGGGGCATCAGACTATAGCTGGGCACGCGCCGAACCACACGGCGGGCCCCACAGACCGGCAGGACGCAGCGAGGGGTGCCCGCCCAGGCCTCATCCTGGACTCAGCCACTTCCACCCAAGTGCCGCCCACAGTCACAGAGGAACATTCCGCAGGGAGTGATCCCAGGAGACCCGGAACACCGTCTAAAAAGCCTGTGTCCCGAGGGGACCGAGTTTCCGAGGATAGCAAATTTATCACTGTTAATCCAGGTAAGTGGTGCTTACCCTCAGCTGAGCTGCTATTCCTCTACCAAGGATCTCTCTGTACCTGCAACTACATACGTATGTGCCCGATTTCTTCCAGTGTGCGGGTTTGTATGTGTGTCTCACTCCCTAATTTATTCTTTGAACATAACATGTTTTGTCTTTACTTGGATAAAATCTGCGTGCTTCAGAATAACTCACTGGACTCCACCCAGGTAATAGAGTAAATGAATCGAAAGAGGTAGCAACCTTAGCTTTTTCAATAAGTGATTGTTATTCATTTATTCACTGCATACATTTATGGGTTTGCCTGTTTGGGGCCAGGCTCTGAGCGAGGTGCTGAGTCAGGCAAACAGGGACCTTGCCTTTTGAAGCTCATGGTATAATGATAAAGACTAGGAGATAGCAGGCAGCAAGAGTCAGTTTATATGCA